CGATATTTAGCATACTAGTAAGGTATCCGTTGTTGAAGGTCAGAAAGTACCTAACATGTACATCTGAAGAAGCACCAACCATTCATTCACGATACATCATAGACTTTGTCTTATTCTGTACTGCCGAAACACGATGTGTTGGGTCCTTAAGAATAGGCATACGTGGCTGTTAGGTAATTTTTTACCTTTAATATGAAGGGTTAAGACCGTTAAACTATCTACTACACAGAGATAAAAGAACCAAATCTACTATTGCTTAAAATATAATATACAAACACAAGTCCGCAGGATGTTTGACAACGGTGAGATTAAGTGATGTGATAATTCTTGAATTCTCCGTGTCTCACCAAGAGAGGGACCCAGATTTGGTCGTCTCTTTCTTCTTCCCAAACTTCACAAATTAAGTGACCACGTTATTCCAGCAATAAAAAACCAAACGATCGCAGTAAACGAAATACCCACACATGCAGACCAATTATTTTTTTATAAATAATAAAATTTAAAGCCTGATCGGGATTGCCTTCTAGTCTCCTTTGACTGCACTAGCATGTATACCAACATTGATTTCAATGAACTCATTCAATCTGTTGGACTGTTTTATAACAGTGCAGTAAAAGGTGATTATCGGATAAAATTACCCATCAGTGAGAGATTAAATCTTTAGTAGCCATAGTGTTGAAGAACAAATATTTTGAATATATAATGACCGATACTTTATACAGAGAATTGGCGCCATTATAGGAAATGATGCAGACCAGAAATATGTGATATTAGAGCATTCGAAGTTATCAATGAAATCATTGAAAAATAAACGAATGTGCGGCCATAGATCAGACATCAATAACAGTGCTAGAGACATTTTTTACCAGCATTTTAACCAGCCTGATCATTCAATCGTTTCTATGCAAGTTCGCATCATCGAAAAAATATACCACAGGACTAACAATCCTCATCTTGTAACATCTCTCCGTAGACAGAAAGAAGACTACTGGATTCGACAATTGGGAACTGCAACACCATATGGTTGCAATGACAAAATTGATGGTATAGGTATTCTATCTAGTCCTTCCTTTAGCGCGGTGAATGTGATGAACATTTTCAACTCTACTCCTCGACGTAGACGCAGTCATGGTCATCGTCTTTATACATCACCTACTCTCCATGATGTCTCTATTAATGACCTGCTGCCATTTATACAAAAGCCGTTAGGTATTCATCACATTCGCACGAAGCTTTATTCATTACCCCTTTTTAAACTTCATTCTCTGTACAACTTATGTTTGGAAACCACTGTTACAAACCCTCATGCAAACCAATACAAACTTATAGCTATCATTTCGGATATTGCAAGTCGCAGACTTTTCAAACCAGTTTGCATTGAAAAAGATGAAAAAAAGAAAAGATCCTTTCTTAAACTTTCCTTTGCCAACAAAGGTCTGGATGCCATCAACTTGGGCACTATCCTTCATCATAAATTAGTTCACTCGAAAATACCTCCCTATTTCAAAGATCAGTCTGTACCTATCATTTCTTATACCTATACCAAACCAATTGCAACTAAAATTTTCAATTACAAACACGTGTTGTAGGATCTCAATATTGACGACTTCAAGTCTAAACCTCCTGATTGCACCTGTGCTAGTTCCCCATTCATATAATATCCGGCTGGCCACGTTATTACTGGTGACCTAACATTGTCAATAAAACTTCTCTGCGAAATTTGTTATCCAACGGCCTGAAATATCGTGAGCCTAAATCCATCAATTGAAAACACAACTTCAAAATACTGATGGATTCAGTCTAGGATTATGCCTGACAATGGGCTAAACGCGAGAAAGAAGACGTAGATACTCTTTCCGAATGGATTAAGGCTGTGAGGTCGTTAATACAAATCAGAATTAAGAAACTGAATGGGTCTATTAATACCCATGCTACATCAATCTTTAAAGACCCAAATGTTGTTAAACACTTGTCTTACCTCCATAACAAATATGTTGTTGTCCCCGCAGATAAAGCCCCAAACAATATCGTTTTTGTGTGTAAATCACATAACATAAATTGCTTGATAATGAATAAGGTATTGACAATTCACTTGGAAACTCAGCATATACCCCACGACACTTACTAAAGAGGAAATCCTGGATAATCATATTATGTTCCTTTGGAATTTCAACCAAAGATGAAGAACTGGATCTTCAATCACTGTATTAGATACCTAAACTACATAAGTGTCCTTACAAACAATGGTATATTGCTGGGTCTTCCAAGTGCTACACGAAACCTATTTATAAATTATTAACATCAATTTTATCAGCAATCAAAGCCGGGCTTCAAAGGTATTGTGAAACTACCTATTCTAGAGGTGACGGGAATCAGATGTGGATACTAAAAATTTCCAAAGATCTTTTGGAGTACATACAATCTAAGACTCTTTCATCGTCCAATAGTATTAAAATATTTGACTTTTCTACACTTTACACAAGTAGTCCTCATATCAAGTTAAAAGACAAATTGAAAGAGTTGGTTCTGCTTTGTTTCATAAAAATAGAATGGCCAACGTAGATACAAGTATCTTGTCTTTGGGAGGGATACATCCTACTTTGTAAAAAATTACTCTGATTCTAACAAAATTTTTTCTGAAACTGACATTATCAAGATGCTAGATTTCTTGATTGACAACATATTTGTTACGTTTGGAGGACGTGTTTTTCAACAAACAATCGGCATTCCAATGGGAACCAACTGTGCCCCTCTTCTTGCCGACCTGTTCCTTTATTCATATGAGGCTGACTTCATACAGGAACTTCTTAGGAAGAAAGAAAAGAAGTTAGCAGTATCCTTCAACTTTACTTTCCGCTACATAGATGATGTTCAACTTCCCTCACTAAATAATTCAAAATTTGGTGACTATGTTGAGCGCATCTATCCCATCTAACTTGAAATAAAGGATACAACAAATACAGTCAAGTCTGCCTCATATCTTGACTTACATCTAGAAATTGACAATGATGGTCGGTTAAAAACAAAACTTTATGACAAAAGAGATGATTTCAGCTTCCCAATTGTGAACTTTTCATTTTTATGTAGCAACATTCCAGCAGCGCCTGCATATGGAGTATATATCTCCCAGTTGATACGATACTCCAGGGCTTGTATTTTCTATCATGATTTCCTTGATAGAGGGTTGCTGCTCACAAGGAAGCTATTAAACCAAGAGTTCCAAGTGGTGAAGTTGAAATCCTGTATGAAATATTCCACACAGAATGTACACGGAATATAGTAGGAATATTGCATTGAATTCCTACCAGAAAAGAGTTATATTCTAATCAGACAGTAGTAGGAATCTACACGGAAAATAGCCGAAATATTTAGATTAGCAGGAATTTCTTAGTAGGAATATTGTATATTCCTACCAAGAATATTTAAATTAGCAGGAATAATTTGGCGGGAAAATAAAATCCTACTAGAAAATCTGGCAGGAATTTCCACATAGAAAAAAAAAATTCTAGTAGGAATCTAAAAATATACAAAATGTAAGTGTAATATATTCACAAATACACATCTGGGTCAATCATTTAAGTTTGAATCTCAACAACAAAAAACAAAGAAAATGCATGGAATATATATTCATTTAAAAAAAGTTGACTTTTGAAATGTATGAGGAAGCTGTGATATATCCAAACATATATGTAGATGCATGGCAAAAATGTTGATTCTAAGATGAAATAAAAGAGTAATGAATAATTAATAAGTAAAATTATGCACTATTGTTGAATTAACTGATTACTAAATATATTGGCAAACAGATAAAAAAATTCATCTCAAAAGTATAAAATTTACCTTCAATCTACATGAGTTATACTTTCTCATATTTCAATATTGTAGTTGTTTAACCCTTGCAGCATATTGTGTTCCAACACAACTTTTCATTCTTCTACCCTCCAACTTTTGAACTTGTGAACTGGAACTTGTTTGCATTTAACACAGCAAAATTTGTGTCATTAGCAAACAGGAATCTAGTTTAAGATAATTAAAAAGATTCCATGTAGAAGGATTTTCTAGAAGGAATAAATTAATTCTGGTATGAATCTTGTGGTAGGAAAATGAATAATCTTATCATATTTTATGTCCAAATTCCCACTTCAGATTTTCAAGACAGAAAAAAATCCATACAGACTTTTAAAATTCCAGCTAGATGGTAGGATTTTGCAAGTGGAGAAAATTAAAAAAATCCAGTCAGAATTTTGTTCATTTTCCATGTCCGCCTACTTTCTATATAGAATCTTTGATTCTAGGTGAATTCCTACTACATTCCTACTAGTGTCTAGGTGGAATCCTACTACTTATTTCGTACGGGTTCATCCCTTCGTAAATTTTACGTTCCTAATGTCATAGCTACAAGCCCGTCCCCTTTTCCCGAATGTGACCTACCGAATTAGACTTATTACCGGGTTTGTACTAACATGAGCAACACGATGGGTGCCACATGTGGAGCAGGATCTGCTTACCCTTCCGGAGCACCTGAGATCACCCCCAGTTTTTGGTGGGGTTCGTGTTGCTCAGTCTTTAGTTTTCTGTGTTGTGTTTTGTGTTCTATTGTTTGTCTGTTTGTCTTTTTCTTTTTTAGCCATGGCGTTGTCAGTTTATTTTCTACTTATGAGATTGAATGTCCCTTTGGTATCTTTCGCCTCTTTTTTAGAAAACTATAAACGATGGGTCAGGACCCTTGAAGAAGCACCCACCTTCCATTTGGGCCACGATACATCATCGAGTTTGTCCTATTTTGTACTGCAGAAACACGATGAGTTAGGTTTTGGGGAAAAGACATACGTGACTGTTAGGTACTTTCTGACCTTCAAAACGTTAAAGATAATGATAATAATAGTGTTAAAAGCTACTAACAATGATTGATTTATCAATCATAAAATTATTGAATGATCATAACAATGAATGAATGATCTTGATAATTTAAAAAAAAAAAGCAAATAAATATATTGATATCACAAAACTGCTACTGGTGGATGACCAAGTGGTTTTTTTAAGCACTTTACGGCGGCTCTCCAAAACAGGTTTTCACCTACGCCTGTTTGGTACCTTATATGAGGTGTACTCTCCAGCAACGTACGCAGTGGACTCGTCATGTGCTTTGAATTAATTGTTTTCAGCATTATTAACAAGAAAACCCCCTTTCCTTGACGTCGTCGCCTTTCCTGAACTACGTCAACTTCCCACTGACACCACTCACTTTTGGCGAAGTTATTTGACATCACAACAACAACTTTCCAACTTTTCTGAAGGTATTTGTCAATATTTCTAGTAATAGGTTTTCCAATATCGAAATCCCTTTGATGAATGCATAGTTTTATTCCCTCATCTTTTTCCATTTTCCGCAAAAAAACGTTTTCCCCATTCTCGATCAGCATCACAGTAGAGAACGAATGCATGATATTCGTAGTTTAAACATTCACCAAATGCAACATGACCTTGTCTGCGATTGTACACAACTCTAAGCAGGTAAACAGTATTCTTTATATTATTCTGACATATCCAAATGCAAAGGATAATGGCTAATATTGATACTCCAAATATAGCCATAGTATATAACGGATTCCATGGATTGCAAATATCATTAGTTGGGTTGTAGCTTTTTAAGTATTGCCCTACTAATTCATTTGGATATCGACATTTGTAACGGTAAGGATAACCAACGATTTTTACTTTGGTTTGCTTAATCCATTCCAAAAACCATTTTTGGTCACATGTACAAGAAAATGGATTGGCTTCTAGATTAATTTGTTCCAATGAATTTAGTAATGTAGACGGCAGAGATGTCTTATTCATGATTGAAATCAAATTAGAACTGAGATCTAGAAATTTCAAGGATGTCATATTACCAAATATTTCACTGCTGTGATCCAAAGTATGTATACTATTGTCATGGAGATTCAGCTTACGTAACTTTCTAAAATTGGTAAGCAAATTTCTTGGTAAATCAATGAGGTCGGTTGAATGTAACAGCAGTGACTCGAGATTATCAAGTGGTTTGAACATGCAATGAAGAATACTTGCATTATTTGGCAAATAATTAAATCCAAGATTCACATAATTTACATTTGGACAGAATCTAAAGATTGTGGAGGGGTTGAATCTTTCTATTAAGTCAAAGCGAAATTTACAGATATGCATTACAATTTTTTTTATAGACGTATTGTTAAACGCAAAATCTTCAATCCGTTTTAATGTATATATCTTTTCTAAATTAATTTGTTTTAATATTTTTAGACTGGAAAATATATTATTGTTTAACACTTCAATTGCAATGCCGCTCAACCGTAAAACCTCGAGTTTAGGCAGACAAATAAAAGACGTTTTATCAATATTCTCGATATTTTTTTCGCTTAAAGACAAAATCTTTAGTATTGGAAATAAACTGTCGTTAAAACTGCAGAAATTAGGAACTTTTTCTAATCTATTTCCTTCAAGTGCTAACCTTCTAAGACGCTCCATTTTCCAGAAATGTATCGTTGTGAGTTTATTGTTTCTAAGGAGTAAGCTCTCACATAGCGTCAAAAATCTAAATGTTGATCCATTGATGGAGGTAAATAGGTTCCCTGTAAGATAAACATTTTTTATCTTTGAATTTATGAACGATGCAAACATATCATTTGGAAGATACTCCCAGTTGTTATTAGTAAACAGGAGTGTTTTGATAGATCTTGAAGACAGTTTTGTTAGTGCTTGCTTCAAATCATCCACACTTAAGGAAGTTTCGTTTTTTACTTCTAAAACTGATAGACTTGTTAGATTCGCAAAAGCTTGTGGATGAATGTGACGTATGGAGTTTCCTGACAATATTAATTCATTCACCCTATGCAATGTAAGATTTATCAAGGCAAAACGCCCGATATCTTTCATGTTAGAGTTTCCTATTTCAATACTTGTAACAGATACTGGTAATTTTGGAATGTAAGATCCATTGCAAATGGCCCTTCTAGTTCCACTTTTTTTAAGAAGACACTTGCAAAACTTTCCACATTCATGATAGGTATCAGTGTAGATAAATGTCATTATTGTAAAGATCGCAAGAATACCAAACCAAATGTCTGTTATGATCATATTTGCAACCTGAAATAGACATATAAATAACCTCTCTGCTTGTAGATTAATATTTTTTTGTTTATTTATACAATTGACTTGTTATCATTATCATTGTTGTTAGAAATTAAACCATACAATTGAAGCATTATTAAGTATATTCATTTCTTCAAAACATGATAACTGAGAACTTATATATATATATATGACTTGAAACAATCCGAAATACTACAACACACATGTAGTATATTGATAATTATTTATAACAATGAAAACAAGCTGAAGCATAGTTGTTCAATTCTTAAATACATGGTAAACGAGAACAAAAGATGAATGGTGTTGTCTTTTATTCCCAAAAGTCTCGATACACACAAGGCTGAGTAAAACTAGTTGCTCGTGGTATTAATTTCAAGAGTATTAATACATAAATATTTTTCAGTGAAAATGATATAAAAATTTTACGCAAGATATTTAATCGGTTTCGTACATTAAAAATGTAAGCATAAAACATAGTTTAAAAGCACGAGAAAAAATTATAAAGGTTGCAGAAATGTTCGAACTTGATTTGTCAAATAGTATTTAACATAAGGATTCGGAAATTGCTTCCAGAAAACATGATATCATTTCTAAATTTGGCTGAAGTTCATACTGCCAAAAGATTTCGTAATAAAAGTTATCTGCTTGTATTGGTCTTTCTTGTTTGTCATTACAGCTGTGTTTAATGTTTTCTCTCGACCGTTAATTTTCCTCTGAATTAGGATTTCCCTTTTGATCAGTCGGTTTCAGTATCTTCCTCATGCCGTGTGATGTTTACACAGTAATCGAACTCACTTGTTGCTGTGATGATGTGCATATATATATATATATGTGTGTGTAGGACTCGTAGGTGCAATGTGGACGCTGAAGTGCGATGGTCTGCGCCGAAGTGCGATGGTCCGTTCGCTGATGTGCGATGGTCAGGCGTGTGATGGCAAGTTTAAAATCTACAGATGTGTAATTATTATCAGAAGTAATTTTTTTTAATATTAAGTAGATAAATTTGCATTCATGTTTGTCTCTGTATGTCCTTAGTTGCAGTTGCATACTAAATGAGAGATTATCCTCTTTGATTTTTGTACATGTAGACATAATTCTGCGTTAACTTTCTATCTTTACTTTGAACCTTTCATGAGTTCCTTGTATACCGTAATATTATAATACAGGATTCTGGTTGCGGACCCGTATGTATTTAGAGAATGCCACGCTCCATCATACGTAAAAAGGAATCTTTTGTAGATTTCGAAACAAATCCACCAAAGAAGGTCATCTTTCCCCTCTACGCCAATCCTCCTCGTTTCTCGTAGTATTAACATTTAATACTCTCCTTATTAACCTAAAAACCCGAAAAATTGCTTCGAACAAACGAATTGACTTCTATATCGACATGAAAAAACATTCAAAATATAGTTTATGTACACCATCGCACTTCAGCGTTACCACCAACGCACTCCGGCGTAGCTATCAACAAGATAACGTCACAATGCCACCATCGCACTTAAGCGTAACCAAAACGCAGTTTAGCTTCAAACCATCGCATTTCAGCGTGACAATCGTGGTTCGGAGTACCATCGCGGTTCCGAGTCTTACATATATATTTTTATATGTTCTGTTACGTGAAACAAAGTCAAATACTTACATTTAACTATAATATTTAAAAAAAACCCTCATAATTATGATTCCTTTGTGTTTAAATCGACAGTTGTTCAGTCACAAATAACTCAGATGTTTTCTACATTGTACTTATACTAATTACACAAACCTTATATGGAAACATAATGAACGTGGATACTGGAACTTTTTTTTTTTATTCCGCCATCCAATGCAATCTACGTTACATAGACACAAAAACAAGCTATAAGATTTATTGTTAAGTGGCAACTTCCATTTCAAGTGCATACTTGATTAACGATATCAACTGATTACATGCAGTGACATGTATCACAGTATGTAAAATAGATAAATGTAAAAAGAAGTTTCACTGCATGGGATATCACATTTTGCAACAGGGAATAAAACACAAAAAATCCAATGTTAAATACAAACTTAGTAAAAGTAAAACAATGTGTAAAAAAATCCAAAACAGAAAATTAATTACAATTAACTACAATGCTTTACACACGCAATATATACTGGAGAATTATCTTTTCTGAGTAAACTTGATTAAGTTGTTTGTCAAATCCCGCATACAGCATACAATTATTGAAAATTTGTATATTTTTTTAAAATAAATTTCGTGGTATAATTATTTTCTTAATAAATGGTGAATATATGTAAAATAAGGAGTTGTGATATGATTGCCAATGAGACAACCATCCACCAAAGTTCAAATGAAGTGGATGAAAGACACTTTTCATGTAAATTAATTTACTTACAGACAATTTGATCGCTTAAAGTGCATTGATTAATATATTCCATACCCTCTTTATGCTTCTACGAATATTAGGACGTGAAGGGAAAAATTGCAAGAAATATCTTTTTTGTGAGATGTTGAACGTATGGCGTCATTTAAAATACGACACATGATAGGTTAGTTGTACATGGAAAATAAACAAGAAATTCTGCTGATACGCACAGGTTATAACATATACTAAGAATGTAAACCAGGTTTATCCAAATAAACATACTAACCAGCAAAATAAAAAAGCTGGCAAATAATTTTCCCGTCGCGTCTGCAAAAAAAATTATTCAAGTCAAACTCTGAAGACCATTAGCAAACTTTTAAGTTTAAAACCCGTACATACTTTAACAGATAGCAATGAAAAGCATGCATACAATTCACACATGAAATTTACTGGCGATTTATATTATACCAATTTAATCATCTCTAAATTTCAAACAAACTATCCGTAAAAATGTTTATGGTATATACATATTACATTATTGGTTGTAGGGGAGAAAAGTTATGACATAAATGTAGCTTATACATATAGAGCTAATTTGTAAATGAACCGAGCTGTGCTTATGGGTGTCAATTGAAGTTACTTGTATCAAATCCTGTTGTTTATCTAATAATAAAAGGAAATACATCTTTAAAATTTAGACCATCCCTGTCCTCAGTGACCTTTTTAGTTTTGTTATTTCCTGCTCTCACTGAAAAAACCAAGTCAGTCATGGGTTGGAGGACTTTATAATTGATTCTTACTAAGACTTGTAATAATATAGTACTTTTTTTAAGCTACCAGCACTATATTAAGAACAGAGGGAGAAAAGTTGCGTTTATATTTATCAGAGATTGTAATTTATATTATCATTTTAGTCTAAATATAAGACCATTATACAGATCTTCTGGTCTTATTCCTTTTCCTTCTTCATATCTTGTATTCTGGTATTGACTTTTGTTCTCTTTATCCAATTTAATAAACTTTGAAAAAAAATCAACTGTGTTTGTCAAGTTGACTACTAGTATCATTCATCCATAATACTGCACACCAGGGTAACGAACAAATGTAGAACTTCTTAAGAAAACACAAAAATCCGAAACAACACCCTATGCAAATTTTAAAACAAAAACATGTTTAAGTGTCAACTATGGTCAAACTCCAATATATCATGCTACATTTTAAACTAAATTGTTAGCTATCAAATAGTATAGTAAAATATAAATATATTTTTCTTATAAAGGATTTTGATTATTTAAGAAACAGTAGAATCATAAAAATTTACGACAATAATTGATTTTGACAAATCAGGCAACGCAATATTTTGATCGTGATAGGCAATGAGTGACAAGACTAAATCATTAGATTTCTTTTATCAACCATCACATCATTTTCTAGAAAAACTATCAAAATGAATGCATGATCATTGTGGAAAAATGAACATCATTCATAGATGGATTTGACTATATTTTTAGGTCCTTTTTGGTAATAAAGCTATCCAAATGTTTCGGTTCTTATACATTCTTGGCTTTCAAATATTCGGTTTTGATTGTTCCTGATGAAGGTTAATC